ATTTGTTTAGTTGGGTAATTTGTTAGTTATGTAAACTTGGCAAAATTATCGCCCATCACATCCTAAAAGAGGAAAACAAAGATCATGTCTCATTATGTTAGAAGTGAGTGTATTATATAATTTTGTAATTTAGCTCTGTCACTAATTAGCTGTGTAACTTTGGGAAAATGATCTTATTTTTTTAAGTCTTAAGTGTATCATATATTTTCAAAATAGGTAAAATAATGTTATCTACCCTGTTGGGATGATAGGAAGAGAAATTCAGATAATGTCTATAAAGTGCTTACCAATCACAGGTATCATGTATAAATAGTATAGACTTTTTCAGGACCAAAAAAACTTAATGTTCATGTAAACCAATTAGTAAAGACCTTATATTATTCAAATTTTGACAATAAAGTATCTTTTTCCTTCTGTGTATTTATTTCTTTCAAAAAGTCATTAATATTTCCAATAAAAATTCAGCAATATTTATAGAAGATATGGACAAAAATAGTGTCTCAATTTAAAAATATTTTCAACTAAAATCATACAGAATAGAAAGTTATGCATCAGAGAATTTTTGAATTTTAAAAAAGTATAGATAAGATAAAAACAAGTTAGTTATTGGAAGTATCCAATTGGAAGTATCCATATTATAATTGAATTAAGACTGAACTAGCTTGTATACACTCGTATATTATATACCCATGTCAGCAAAGCAGTATTATTTTTTCCAAGATGAATTTATAGCCTGTATGTCAGTGAAATCTAATTTTTTTGCTGATAGATAGAATGCCATATATAATGATGAGGAATATGCTGAAAGCAAGAGCAGTAAATGGCAATCTTCTGACTTACTGTATGTGTCACTGGGAAGAGTAATTATTTCTCACAAGTAGAGGTGAAGTCAGGGACTATTATCATCCATATTTAAGTGGTTTTGCTCTTTTCTTCCACATCTACCAACTTGATTAAATAATGATTGGGCTCAGAAGTTCATTCCCAATCAAGTTTGTAAATGCCTCTGTTGTTCAGCTTTAGAGAGTGCACAGATAAGGAAAGGCTCCACAAGTCATCACCAGACAGAGTTGGGGGGGTAGAGTGGGGGGAGACAGCAATCTCAAGAAGTCACCAGACAGAGAACTAGAAAATTGGGTTACATTCACAAAGCCTAAGTGACAACTACCAGTGTGCCTTTAATAGTGTGTTTTATAGCCTCAAGCAAATCCTAGCCTGTTGGGAGGAAGGGGAACGAGGGAGGTGCTGTAGGAGCCACCCCTTAAGGAAGAATGTTATGTTCTGAAACTCTCTCTGACCGAAGAAAATCTGGCTTGATGGAAATTCCGAGCACAATAGTTTGACATGATAATCAAGGGAGACAATCCTCTGGTTGTGAATTGATCAGGTCATCAATGAGAGCCAGGTAAAAAGCATTAGAGTGGCATTTCTGTTCCAGCATTTCAATGAAGAAATACCAGGCGGAAGATTTCCAGCACCTGTGATCTCAGCGCACATTTTAATTGGTTCTACTAGTGGGCAGGAAATAAAGATACCTTTTCACCAATAGGATCAAAAAGTCTCAGTGTGGCCTAACATTAAAGAACTTCAGAAAAGGTGGACAATGCTGTGATTTATAAGAAATATATATTTGGTCATTCAGGTGAGCGAAATACATTTCTCATGTGTATTTGATCTTCATCCACAGTTCCTGGCTTTCAGTTCCCAAACACCTGGAATTTCCTAAATGTAAGAGCAATGAGAGCATCTTTTATTACAATAGTTGGTCTCTTACCCTCAGTTTCTGAAAATGCTTCAGAGCGATAAAGGTGAAATAGGTATATGTTAAGCTGGGGGATTTTGGATGGCACCTAAAGATGGGGACTGGTTGTCCTGAGAACTACCCATGAATAGACTTTCATTCCTACCCACTGGTTTCTGGGAAGGAGGGTAAGGGACTGCAGGTTGAATCAATCACTAATGGCCAATGAGTTAATCATGCCTATGCAATAAAGCCTCCATAAAAACAGGAGGAGGTTCAGAGAGCTTCTGGTTTGGAGAATGTGTGGCGGTTTGTGGATAGTAGCATCCTTGGAGAGGGCGCGGGAGCTCCGAGCCTTTTCCCCATACCTTACCTCACGTATCTCTTTCATCTGGCTGTTCCTGAATTATAGACATCAATAACAAACCTGTACTCTTGTAAGTAAAATGTTTCCTTGAGTTCTGTGAATCACTCTTGCAAGTTAATTAAACCCAAGGAAGGGGTTGTGGAAATCTGTGACTTAAACCCAATGAGTCAGAAATACAGGTAACAATCTGGACTTGTGACTGGCATCTGCAGGGGTGGTGTACAGTCTTGTGGGACGCAGCCCTTAACTGTGTGGTCTGATGCTCTGTCTCTGGGTAGATAGTGTCAGAATTGAGTTAAATTGTAAGACGCCCAGCTGATGTTGGAAATTGCTTGGTGGTGTGTGGGAACCCACATACATACATTGAAACTGGTGTTCAGAACCCCTTTAAGGTGGTTTTCTGAAAATCTTAAAGTTTTTTAAATTTACTACTGTAAGTCACATTTACTAAACTTCTACATTCAGTTAGCCATTAGAGTTCACAATGTTTAATGTCAGGTATATGTTCAGAAATGGAACCTAAATTCCCTTGGTTTCTAAATCAATCTTGGGTAGAAATGAGGGAAAGGGCAAATGTAGGATATCAGCATTTTTTCTCTTTCTTGAGAACCTACTCTGTGTCAAGTGATAAGGTAATTCTTGCTTTTAATGTATTGTCTCATTTAATTATTGTAAAAGTGCCATATATTGGGCATGTGCCCTATTTCCAGATGAAGAAATTGAAACTCGGAAGTTAAATAACTTGCCCATGGTCTCACAACCTAGTAAATTGCAGTGAAGGAATTTGTAGCCAGCTCTTTCTAATTTCTGTAATTGAACTCATTCCTCCTCAATTGCTAACTCTCATAGGACAGGAGAAGACCCTGATGCTATTATTTAGCAAAATAATATATTTTTAGTCTTTTCTCACTTCATCTACTTTTATTTTTATCTTGGTTAATAAGTTAAAAATCTTTCTCTTAACATTAAAGTATTGTAACTTGACAATGTAATGAGCTAGTTGCTTTATTACCCATGCCAATCCCCATGACATGTAAGATATCTTTAGACGGTGAATTCTTTAGTTAACCTTAGAATTAGTTTCTTAGAAAGCCCTTGCTCACAAAGACCGATAGTGCCTCCCAAGTTTGTCCTATTTCTTTGGCAAACTAAGGCAGCATGAGGAATCGTGCTCAGTGCCTTGACTGTGGTGGTGGTCACACGAATATACATGTGATAAAATTGCATAGAATGAAACACGTGGTGAGCACATGGTGAACTCTGAATCAGGTGACACATGCCATTGGCGCTAGTTTCCTGGTTGTGATACTGCACTGTGATTATTCAAGATGTTGCCATTGGGGGAAAAAGGGGAAAAGGTAAGCAGGATCTCTCTGTACTATTTCTTACAACTTCATGTGACCCCTATACGGTTAATAAAAAGGTTTTAAAAATTATATAGTCCCTGACATCATATAGAATTCAATCTAGTAATAGAAATAAATTACAAAAAATAAATGCACAAAGAATTACATAATAACTACTATAATGTAGTAGGAGGAAAAGTATCTGGTACCATAAATGCATGCAAATATTGGAATCTAGCCTGTACCGAAGAAAGGTGAAGAAAGACCTTCCTGAGGATGTAATATTTAAAGTGAAGCTTAGGAATGAGTTGGAATTGGCCAAACAAGAATGGGGGAGAAAAATAAAAGACTTTTCACCTTCAAAAAAATGGAATCTAAGCAGAGAGGAGCTTGACAGAAGGGAATACTGAAGAAATAGTCTGGGGACAGATCACACTGGACCTTGTGGATTATGGTAGCTTTCTTAGGAGAATAATAGGAAGCCACTAAAATGCTTTAAGCAAGGAAGTAATATCAAATCAATATTTTTAAACTATTACTTTGACTTTCAGTCAGAGAATAATTTGTTTGGAAAGTATACCTGAAAATAGGCAGAAATAGAAGCTGGCATAGGAACGTGGGTTAGTGATGGGGTCCTTGGATTTGGGTGGGGGTAGTGATGATGAGAATAAATTAATGGGTTCAAGAAAAATTAGATAGGTTTTGTAATGATTTGAATGTGAGATGTTGATATTGCAGATTGTAGTCAATTTTGTCATGAGAAATGAAGTGGATGAAGCAACCGTATTCCCAGGGGGGGAGAATTAAAGGAAGTGCATGTCTAAAGTAGGGCAGGGAATGGAGTAGTTCAATTTTAAATCTAAGATACGATGCCAATGAGACTTTGGAGTGGAGATTTCAAGTAATCAAGTAGATATTTCAAAAAAAAACAAAAAACAAAACACACACACACACACACACACACACACACACACACAGAAGATACAAGTCAGGGATAAAAATTCTTGGCTTTTATTCACAAGAAATACATTCCAACATCCCTAGTGGATATCTGAAACCACAGATAGTAGCAAACCCCATATATACTGTGTTTTTTCCTGTACATACATACCTATGATAAGGTTTAATTTATAAATTAGACATAGTAAGAGCTTAACAACAATCATAATAAAACTGAACAATTATAACACTATACTGTAATAAAAGTTATGTAAATGGCTTTGGGGGTATTATTAAGTAAAATAAGGGTTGCTTGAACACAAGGGCTGAGATATCATGACAGTAGCTCTGATAACCAGATCACTATGAAGTGACTAATTAGAGGGAATCAAAGAGAGCGTGGATATGCTGAACAAAGGGATGATTCACATCTTAGATGGGACAGAGAAGAATGGCACAAGATTTCATACTACTACTCAGAAGGACATGCAATTTAAAACTTATGAATTGCTTATTTCTGGAATTTTCCACTTAATATCTTTGGACCATGGCTAATGCAGTTAACTGAAACCATAGATAAGCAGGGGCTACTTTGTTGATTTTTAAAATTTATGTCCACTTTTAATAAGGATATGCTATGAAAAAACTTGGTGTACTATTGTAGTCATTTTAAAGGGAAGACTTTACTTCTCATGGTGTCTGGCTGTGAAAGCTTCTAATGATAAAAAGAACATAGCATTCAGCTATGCCTTAGATAATAATTAATAGGGTAATTATGGTCATTAAGGGAGAATGGGAAGAAAAAAGAAGAGGCCCAAAGAAAATCCCTGATAAACTTAAACATTTAAAGTCAAGAAGGCTTAGAAGAAGCAGTCAGAGAAGGAGTGAAAATCCAAGAGTGGGGTGGGAAAGCCAAGGGAAGAGACTATATCAAGAAAGTAATAATAAATGCTGTTACATGTTCTGTTGAGAAGTCAAGTCAGCTGAGGCATGGAAAATGGACATGACTGTTGGATTGAGCAATATGAAAATCATAACTGGGGTGAAGAAGGGGAGAAGAAATAAAAATGGAGGCAGGCTCGCAACTTTGGAAGAAGATAAAGGAGTTGCAGCCAGGTGCTATAGATTTTCTCTTCAAAAGTATAGACACTGAGAAAGGAGACTTAAGGAAAGTGTAAATTTGTTATTGCAAGAGAAGACAGTGAGTAAACTAGAACATCAACTTAACTACAGGTGGTCCCCAACTCATGATGGCTCGACTTAAAAGTTTTTGGTTTTATGATGGTGTGAAAATGATACACATTCAATAGAAACTATACTTCAGATTTTGAATTCTGATCTTTTCCTGGGTTAGTGATATGCAGTGCAATATACTCTCATGATACTGGGAAGTTCCTGGTCAGTCATGTGATTGCAAGAGTAAACAACCAATACTTTATAGTGCCAGCGTTTTTTTGTGCATTCAGTAAATTACATGAGATAGTTGACACTTTAATATAAGATAGGCTTCATGTTAGATGATTTTGCCCATCTGCGGGCTAATGTAAGTGCTCTGAACCCATTTAAGGTAGGCTAAGCTAGGGTAGGCTAAGTAAGCAATGATGGTCGGTAGGTTACATGCATTAAATGCAGTTTAGACTTAAGATATGTTCAACTTACAGTAGTTTCACTGGGACATAATGCCATTGTTAGTAGAACATCTATACTGAGGTAGATTTTTTTAAGTTTAAATAAATGAAAATTACCCAAATTTTCTCTTGGTAAGGAGCATCAATATTGCAAAGATGTTAATCCTCTTCACACCTATCATTATATTGATGTGGCAATCAAAATTATTATTGAAATTACAACAGTACTTTTCACTTATAGAGGATTGAAATGTGTCAGGCAGCAGGTTAAATATTCATAAAACTCAAATCAAAATCACATGTTCAGGGGAACTTGCAAAATGCCTGTAAAGTTTATCTGAAAAATAAACATAAGAGAATAGCAAAGAAAATTCTGGGAAAGAAAATAGCAATTGTGGATTAACCAACTATAATTGTGGTTTGCAACAATAGAGAGCTCAATGGAAAGAACTCAGAAATGATCAAAAGTTTATGACAGGGTGACTTCAATAAATTTGGGTTTTTGAATCAGTGGTGGAAAAAAAAAAACAAGTTTGTAGTAACAGGTTTTTGGACACCTAGACAACCATTTGGGAAATGATGAAGTCTCACTTTTGCATAATTCCTTTTCCACAAATCAGATGGATCAAAGATGTGAATGTAAAGACACTAAACTATACAAGAATGAAGCAAAACTAAATATTTTTATAATTTTGTATTGAAAATACTTTTTAAAATAAAGAATAATATTCATCATGACTTGGCAGAAACAAACATATATTCACACATATAATCAATGCCAAAAAATTAATGTTAAACTGGGGAAATAGTATCAATTTTTAGGATGAAAGATTGAGCTCGAATAGATCAATTTCAAATTCAAGGAGCCTATTTTTAGTAAGAAGGGCAAGTGGCATTGAAAGACATCTCAGTGTAAAAAAAATACACAAGATTAATAAACACACAAAAAGATACCAAAGTTTTGTAACAAATTTTAAAAAGTCAAAATTAAGACAACAAAGTGATGTTATTTCTACTTATCTGATTAATCTAGTTAACATATTTTTGAACATTTAGTATGTGCCAAGTGTTTTTAGTTTTTTCTTGTGAGTGTATTTTACATATCTCTCATGAGCTTATTTTCCACAATAAACTACACATTTTAAATAATATGATAGGTATTATTTAATGGAAGCAGATGCCACTAAGGAACTTGATAATGTTTGAAAGATTTTTTTTGGTTTTCAGTAAGTCAAACTTGCTCTCAGCAATCTTGTTTATATGCTTAATTTGATTAACACATTCTTTCATAGCATGCACAATGTTCAAAAGCAGTGCTTTTTAAAATGCTTATAAAGCTAATTATTTCTATTTAATTATATTTTATTGAATTGACAATTTTTTTTTTTTTTACTCCTTACCCAAGGACATTTTTTCATTGTTTTTTAGAAAGAGAGAAAGAAGGGGAGAGAGACCGAGAGTGGCAGAAACATCCATTGGTTGCCCTACATGCCCCAACCAGGAGTCAAACCCACAACCTCTTGGTTCATGGGACAACACTCCAACTGATTGAGCCACACTGGCCAGAGCTGAATTGACAGTATTTCTGAGAGTACAAAGTTAACACTGGAATGGTGAAGGCAAACCAAACCAGAATCATAGCCCAATGACTCTTCTTTTTTATCAGCTGGAGGTGAGAAGAGCAGTTGATGAAGCCAGTCTTTCATTTCTTCATCTTTTCATTCTTTCTAAAAGTAATTATTGAATATCTACTCTGTGCAAGGCACTGAGCTAGGGTAGTGAGGATATGATGGACAAGAGAGAATCTGTACCCTCAGATTTTATCATCTAATTGGGGCCTCAGAGAGCAGTAAACCAGTAGTGATAATACTTTGTTGTTAAGAACATACATTTATGGGGCGGGGGGTGCTTTTTTTATTTTAATTATTTTTTTCAATAATAATTTACATCCCATATTATTTTTGTGTTATTTTCAGGTGTGCAGCACAGTGCTTAGACAATCACATATTTTACAAAGTGAGAATTCATATTAAGTAGCTGAAATCGCCCTCTTGCCTTCATTCTTTCATCCTGGGGGCACTATGGTGCTGCCCCAGGTGACATGTTACTTCTATGACTATACCTGATATTCTTTTGGGAGTGATTGAGGCAAATTATTTAAGGTATCTTTTTAAATAATATGTGACACCTAAATGGAGCTAGGTCATGGACTTCCTCCAAATTTGTAAGACTAAAATTTTTGGCAACGTGAGAGACTTTTTCCAGGTTTGAATGAATCATTAGGAATGAGTAAATCACAGCCATAACAAGTGTTTTATAATTAACAAGATAATGATGTATCTTAAGCATCATAAATCTCAGAATAACCCCAGTATGTGTCCATTTGTCATTGTCAACAAATGCCGGAAAGAACTGAAAGAAATAGTCAAATGTGATTCCAAGTAGTCTATACTTTAAAAAACCCACTAAGCTGATAAATACTTTCTTAGGGAAAAACAAAACAAAACAAAACTCATAGTATATATACTAATGAATTAAAATACTTTCCCAAGATACTTTATAGAGTTCCTAAATTATATCAGATTGAACCATATGGAATTGCCAAAATTTCTTCTTTTAACCTACAAAATTGGTGATTTCATGTGGTTTACACAAATAGCACAGCATCATTTCACTTCCCAAGAGGAAATCTGGTAGCAATGAGTCATTTATAGAGCTTCACTGTGACCTCTGTGTGAGGCCCTGTCTGAAATCCATCCAGGGTCCTTACCTGGGGTCAATAGCCTCTCCCCAAAAAGGCCAAGTCTAGAATGGAGGAGGGTCTTTGAACTTGGATAAAAAAATTCGCCTATGTATTTTCACCAAACTTTAACGTGAACTTTGCATTTCTTTCAAATGCTAAGACACAAGCAGCAAGTTTGGGTAACATTATCAGCACCTATGTTTTTGTCATTAATAGGAACCACAGATATTTTCACATTATAGTTAGGACAGCTAACACAAAGTAACATTTATACTCATCACAAACGAAAATTTCTTTTGATATTATACCTAACTTTTAGATCTTATTATTTAATGCATCTATTACTAATCACAATTTTGCTTTTAAAATATATGGATAACCATAATATTATTTTGCTTTATAGTGCTGTATCTTTTATTTTGTGTATTTAAAGTATATTATTCTGAGAAGAGGTTCCAAGGGCTTCCCCAAACTTTCAAATGGGTCCATGGCATAAAAGCTTAAGAAATCCTAATACCATTTGATCCTTGTAGCCACCCTCAATAATAGGGAGAATTATCACCCCAAATGCATAGAGAAAAGTGGTCGAGTCTTTCAATGAAAGTACACAACTAACAGCACAACCAGCTTTCACAATGAGTCTGGCTCCAAAGCCCATGCTCTTAACCAGTACCTCCGCCTCCTCTGGAAATTTCCAGACGACCGATGGAGATTATAATGGTCAAGATACTGATGATCATCAAATAGTGTTTGTGTAAACCCAAAAATGTTTTCCTCATGCTACAACAAGTATTATACAACAACCCACTTCAAAAGTGTTGTGCATGGCAGCCATAAGTTTAGAACATGAACAAAAAGACATTAAATAGTAAAGAGAGTGAGCCCTGGGCAATGGGCCGGCTGAGAGGGGGTGAAGGCCACAGGGATCCAGAGGAGGAATTGTCAGAGACTGACAACTTGGCACACAGAGCTGCGACAAGGTGGTAGCTGGTGAAATTTACTTTTCAGTCAGTTGGTGACCTCTGCCTTCTTTCCCTCCTTCTGTTTTTATTGCTCTTTCTCCTATCTCGATTTAGTTTCTAATTTAGATTTCTAGCCCATTTCCCCATATACGAACCAATTTTCAGCTTAAAATAGAGGGAAACATGCCAAGTTATAGCAGATGAAATTCAGGTTCATACATGTATCCATCTATTTGTGCTTTCATTGAGATTATTTTTAAATGGAGGTATAATTGACATATAACATATTAGTTTCAGGTGTGCAACTTAATGATCTGATATTTGTGTTCTGTATTGTGAAGTGATCATAATAAGTCTAACTAACATCTATCATCATACATTAGTTACAAAAATTTTTTAGTATGATGACAACTTCT